CTTTCTCATGATTGTGGGTAGTAAGTATGCTTTTCACTCGGATATGACAATGATGTCTCTTCTCTTAAAGTAAACCAACACACTTATGTTTTAAAATTTTTAAGGTGAACTATGAGTACCCTGATCCCCTATTACACAGAAGATGATACGTAGGCATTATAGGTTCCCAATCGCGGCGGGGGCAAAATTTAAAAAAAAAATACTTCTTTTCTCATCTCCACCAAATATTTTTGTATACACTTTTTATAGCCAAAATAAACAGATTTTCAAAGAGGTTCTTGTGGAGTACCGGAGATGTTTAGGGTGCTAATACCTTTCGTTTGTATAACCAATCCCCGTACCTAGATGTTCTCTCCCTCTTTTTTTTGGGTTTATTCATTATTTTCCCATTTCCTTTGGAAACAATAAAGCGCGGTGGCAATTTTTATTTTGACATGTGCAAGTTAAGTCAATCAATTGGCTTAGTCTCAACATTTCTACCGCTATACAGTGTACCTACAAGGATGGATGCATTTGATTTTAATCATATGGGTCTCAGGAATTAATCTTGGGACGTTGAACAAATGTATTACAAACGGATTGTTGAGATGGAGCGTTGACTAAGAACATGGTGGGAGAGCGCGTATAGAGACCAGTCAATGGTCTCCAGATCCTATAGCCAGCCAGTGTCCATGTGTTGCACATCGCATGAGTGAGGGAGAGAGTATTTAAGAAAAATTCATTCATAAACTTTCACTTTTCTTCTCCTCGTTCTCTCTCTACTCCCAGACTCTCTCATTTCTCCCTTAAACATTTCCCAAATAACCGCCACCCCACCACCGGCTGGAAATCGGTTCCGTCGGTGGTTGTTCTCCTGGCCACCCTACAACCACCGTGAAAACCTAGTTCTTCGATTGAAATTCAACCATGGTTTATCAAAGTGTGCAGGTTCTTCAAAGTGTATGATCGTGATGTATGGTTCATAATTAGGCCAAGTTACTTTAAACATGGCTGACAAAGTTTCCAAGGCGTCTTCCATCTGATTTTCTTCTCGAGGAATATGAGTGAAACTAATCTCCGTAAATTCCATAGCTAGCTTCAAAACATGGTCTTAGTATGAAATTAATTTGGGATGTCGGGTGTCTCATTCACCGTTGACTTGGTGTATGACTAATGTTGAATCTCCATATACTTCAAGAAATTTGATCCTTAAATTAATAGTCTCTTCTAGACCCAAGATACAAGCTTTGTATTCAGCAATATTGTTAGTATAATTGAAATATTACCTTGTAGTATAAGGCTTATGAAATTTCTTCAGAGAAGTCAATACTGCCCCAATTCCATGCCCTAATGAATTTGAAGCACCATTAAACATGGGTGTCCATCGTGCACCTGGTTCAGGTCCTTCGTCAGTCCTGGTATTTTGTAGTCTCCTATAACCATGATGTCTTTGTCTAGAAATCCAAACTTCATTAGTTGATATTATGCCACAAGTTGATGAGCTAGGTGATCAGCTAATATACTACCCTTGATGGCCTTTTGCGTGACATATTGGATGTCGTATTTGGATAACAACATTTGCCATCGAGTAATTCTTCCCGTGAGAGTTGGCTTTTCGAACACATACTTCAAAGGATCATTTCTTGCTATTAACCACATGGTGTGAGTTAACATATACTGCCTCAATTGTTTAACAGCCCAAGTAGAACACAATAAGTATTCTCAAGGAATGAGTATCGAGTTTTGAACTCGGTATATTTCTTGCTTAGGTAGTAGATGGCATGCTCTTTTCTACCTATTTTGTCGTGTTGACCCAATACACATCCCATAGATCCTTCCAGAACTTTCAAGTACACGATAAATGGTCTTCCAGGAACGAGCGACATCAAAATTGGTGGTTCTTGTAGGTATTGCTTTATTGTTTCAAAGGATTTTTTACTGTCTTAATTCCATTCCACTAATTGATCCTTTCTGATTAGCTTGAATATAGGCTCACAAGTGGCAGTTAGATGCGATATAAACCTTGAGATGTAGTTCAATCGTCCTAAAAAACCATGAACCTCCTTTTGTAGACTCGGAGGTGCCATTTCTTGTATGGCCTTTAATTTGTCAGGATCCACCTCAATTCCTCAATAGCTTACAATAAAACCCAATAGTTTACCTGATCTGACACCATATGTACATTTGTTCGGATTGAACCTCAGTCCGAATTTTCATAGACGTTCGAATAATTTCTGTAAATGAATGAAAGATGTACTCTTCTTTTGTATGGGAATTAAAAATCATATCGTCCACGTAAACTTTTACTTCCTTGTGGATCATGTCATGAAATAGCGTGACCATTGCTCGTTGATAGGTTGCCCCTGTGTTCTTTAGACCGAGGGGTATTACTTTGTAACAGAAGGTGCCCTAAGAAGTCATGAAAGTAGTCTTTTCCATATCATTGGAAGCCATTTTGATTTGATTATATCCTGAGAAACCATCCGTGAAAGAAAATACTGAAGTTTGAGATGTGTTATCCACCAAAACATCAATGTGAGGTAGCGGGAAATCATCTTTAGGACTTGCTTTGTTTAGATACCAATAGTCTACACACATGCGTATTTTTCCTTCTTTCTTGGGTACTGACATGATGTTAGCAATCCAAGGTGGATAGTCTACCACGGTTAAGAAACCTTCATCGAATTGCTTGAGGACTTCTTCTCGAATTTCACTTTCCATGTGTGGACGAGTTCTTCTGAGCTTTTGTCTAACATGAGAACACCCCCATTGAGAGGTAGTTTATGTACGATAATGTTTGTATCCAAACCTGACATATCTTAGTAAGACCATGCAGATATATCAACATATTCATGCAAGAGCTTGATCAGTCTTTCCTTTATGTTTCTTCCAAGGTTGCAACTATTTTGAGCTATTTCTTGTCTTTCTTTATCCCAAGATTGATGATCTCTATAGGTTCCTGGTACGGTTGTATATCATTTCATTTTTTCTCTAGTAACCTTGTCAATTCTTCAAAGAGTTCATGATCTTCCTCATCCTCTTCTTCAGCTTAGTTAATTGGTGCATCAAAGTCATATTAGATCATATTTGTATCATTATCGGTGAGTTTAGGTGTAGATCTGCACATTTCATCATGTTTTGGTTTCTTTTTAGAATATGAAATTGGAAAGTGCGTATGAAGAAAAGGTATTGTCATTTTGAAAAAAAAGATAGTAAAATAAAAGAGAAAGACATGGATCTCAATTGAATGAAAAACATAACGTTTATTAATTGAAAATACTATTTGAAAACAAATGGGGACCATTTTCATACCCCAAATTTGTCCTACCCTTCATTCAAATCATATGGCTTATGCGTCTCATAATCATCAGGTACATCTCCTCAATTAGGTCATTTAGCACATCATGCCACATTAGTCAATAAACTTGGAATGGGATAAAGGATTTTGGAGTTATGGGTTCTTTATGATTCGAGGCTTCTGTCTTCATTCAAGTGTTTCACTGGTTCTTCTTCGATTAAGGTTTGTGGAACCAGGCTTGCGTGTTGGTTTCTTTTGCATTAAGCTATAAGTTTGTCATCTTCGTTAAGGGCTAGATCCTCAGAGTTTCATCAATGATTTCAACTAAGCATCTTGTTAAGATAATACTTTGGTTCTTCTTAATATCTCAAGATGTTTCTTCATTCAAAAGATATTGAACTTGGGTATGAGATTGCTTAAAGATCGTCTTTGGGTGCTTACAATCGTCTCTTGGGCTAGGATTTATTTCCATATTCATGTGGTGGTCAAGAGAGTTCATCATGGAGTTTTGTTCATCAGTGAAGATCATCATTCAAAAGATCTCAGTCATTGCTTGAGGGACAAGTTTTGTGCAAGGCGTTATGTACGCGGAAAGATAGGGTCGGATGGTCATTTAAGAATTAATTCATTTGATCCTCATAATCTTTAGAACTCATGTTTCATTACATGATTGTGTTTCATTACTTGGGTCACGCGCCCTCTTATTGGATCTCATGTTAAACTTTTAGACTTTCACCCATAGATTCATTCAAATTGGTGAAATTAAGGAAGAGCTTAGGTTCATTAAAGATATAATTTCAAGTTTGATTTAAAGTGTCAAATGAAGATAAGTGTTGATATGCAAGGCATACTTCAAAGTACAATTAAAAGAAGAACTTGGTAATTCGAAATCATTTTGAAAGAGAAGAACACTCTGATCATTTGGATTTGTCATTGGATTCAAAAGCTCACGAGGCGACAAGATCCATTACTACTTCAAATGTCACAATACATGTTCATTACAATTACAATCCCATCATTACAAGAAATTCGCATTATCAAAAGTCATAAGAAAACCTAAACCTACAAAAGAAACTAAAAACAATCTTCAAGACCTCTTCAGATTTTCCCCATGCCATCTCTATGTTGCAAACCATGTCATGATTAAGTCTTCATGCCCTTATGTCTTAATCTCATCACCACGCTTCATGTTCTCACATTCACATCATCCATGACCAAGTCATTCACCAATCTTCATGCCATGACTTTGTCCAAACTCGCTTTAAACAATGACACTCAAGAGTTGTTGCATAAAACAGGGACCAGGCCCGTCAGGTATCCAAAAAAAAAATCATATGTGCCATAAAATAACCTGCATATTCAGTAGGAAGGAACAGAAAACAAGTTATGCAGGAAAAAACCCAAAACAGTTCACACAGTCAGCTTGCTAAAACAGCCCTGCACCTTGTCAAAACAGATCCCAAACTCACACTTCAGAAGATCACACATACCATGCGCATTAATAAGAAAATACCAACTATCATACATGAACCTGCACTACACAACTATGTACATACAGTTCAAAACAGAGAGGTGAGAAAGTAAAACTCTACAAAAAAACTAACAAGAACTAACCTATGACAGCTCCCACAACGATATCCTTAATCTTTTGATCCTCGAAGTTGGGCAAAATTAATGAAATCCATGATCAGGATAGGTTTGGTGTTGAGACTTTCGAATTTCATCATGTCCGGCGCGGCGGCGCTTTCCGTTCGAATGGTGAGAAGAGAGAGTTCAGGACGAGAGGGTAGAGTCTGAGATGGTTTCGAACAAAGACGAATCGACACATGCCAAACGCGTCGTTTTTATTAATATCTCTTATCCCTTTTCTTTGTTTATTTATTTCCAGTAACATGAAATATGGATTGGGTTTGGCCATTGGATTGCAACCGTATCTCCATCCTAACTATACTGCAACATGTTTTTTTGTTTTTTTTGGTTCTGAATATCAACATTGGGCCTCTGTACTGCGGTCCTGACCTTTTCTTGTGGTGTAACACCCGTATTTTCTAGATAACAACCCCTTCTGTCTATACATTTATATTAATTTTCCCTAAATGTTTGCATAGTTTTTTGTATTAATCTTGGCATGTTTTTGTTAATTTCCTTACCTAAAAAAGATGGCGAAAAAAACATGTGAATATCGTGATCTTGATCTTTAGATAATTTATTTATTTTTGTTCATAAAATATGCTAAAAATAGGCTTTACGTTTCATCGAATGTTCGTGTGGTTTGCAAGCTTTGTGGTCAAATGTTGGTGCAACTTTTGTGATATGAGATGCTTGAGGATTAATTTATTTGATCACTTATGCGAAGCTTCTGTAGAGTTTTCATATCGCTTGCGTGGCTTTGAAGAGGCAACATACATTCTCCGTTAGGTATCTTCAGAACTCTCTTTACTTTCATTAAAGTGTCATTTTTATTTCTTTCTTGACATGAGAAGTAGGATAAAGATACCATGAGCTACAGTCATACCTTCGTAGGCTCTATATTTGTGTAGTTAGGAATCATTTTGTGATGTTGGGTATTGATATTTTGGTTTGATGCTTTACCTCTACACTTTGGTTTTGACTGCTACCATTTTGTCATACTTGTTGCTTGATGTTTTTATGCTTGCTTATGTGATACCATGCTCCCTTAAGATTTTTATTTCAATTTTAATCTCTTGATTAAATTGAATTAATTAGACCTTAGGCTTTAAAATCAAGCATGACAACAATTAAGTAGAATTCCCCTTGATCCCAGCATTAGGACCATTGCATGCCAACATTAGGATTAGTCTCCCTTAGTCCGTTTCTAATTGCATTGCATCTCTTAAAAATAAAAACATTTTCTTAAGAAAACCCAAAAACACTTAATCATACTTAAACACTTTCCACAATAACAAAATACAAACAAATCAAACATGGCACCTTGCCTTGAGGGCGTAACTCAAAACCGCTTCAAAAGGGTTCGTCACCCATAAAAAAATACAACAAACCAAAACTTTTGAGGTAAACTACTAGTGTCCTGATTCCCTATTGCACAAAAGGGATATGTAGGCACAAAGGTTCGCAACCGTGACGGGCACAATAATTTAAAGCTTTTATTTTTCCTTAAGAAATTCATGAATGCATTCCCTCAGCAAGTAAGTATTAGATATAACACACCATTTGATTAGAACAACAAGAGTGGATCCTGTGAAATACCACATACGTGATGGGTGTTAATACCTCCCTGTTGTACCCCAAAATTTCCCCTCCCATTTTACTCAAGGCGTGCTTATTGAGGTCCCCAAATTGCTCAAGGATGACCAAGAATTGACCAGACAAATTTTCCTCCCAAGGCAATGAACCTCTAACTAGGGTTTCAATTTTCACCAAGATGTGTGAACTCCAAAGGTATCAATTTCTTTCCATGGTCCTAATATGCCTTCAAGATTGTCCATGCCAAGTTTCATGCTTTGCGCAACAAGTTTGCTCAGTCAATTGCTCAAATGCTTGAAAATCAACTATGCTAGGTCAAAAGTCAACTGTGGCCTATATACAGTCAAACTTCAAGATTTTTGGTCAACATAAACATTTTGAAGTGATATCCATCATTTGATCAAGGGTTGATCATTATTCCTCAAGAAATGCTCCTAATTCATTAAAAGTCAAAAATTGCTAATTTGGGTTTGTATAGGAGAAGTCAACCAAACTTTGACTAGACATACCTTTCACATACTTCATCCATTTTCCCCAACCGAAGCTCATTTTGAGGAGAATCTAATTCCCTACAACTTCTCTTCAGCCATCAAGTCCAAGAAATGCACCATTTGAAAGATACAAGTTCATAAATTACAAGTCATTTTTAGAAAGTCAACAAAATCCACTTTTTGCCAAGACCTTTTACATCAAGATAAAATCTTAAAATGTAAAATTGATCCAAAGAGGTATTGGAGTAGACATCTTGGACTTTCCAAAAAGTATAAGTTCATCATCTTGAGATGAAAATTGAGCAAGTCATGGCTTGCCCAAGTTGGGAAATTTGGGAAATTTTAAGAAATGTGTATTGAGCAAATTTGAACTTTTAAGGTAATAGCTCATTTTCTTGGACTTCAAACATCTTCCTAAGATCAGAGAGGACCCCTAAAACCATTTTTTGCATAGTCTTGATTTTATTTTCATTTTATATTAATTTTTATTTAATTAAAATCAAATAAATCAAAACTAGTGCAAATTTATTGGGCCATTTCTATTTGGGCTTGGCTTAATGCACGAGGAGGCCCCAATTTTCGTGTACAACAAGGCTAGCATGTCCACATTCATGCAAATTTGAAAAATGGTCAAGATCCCATAATTTTGGCCAAGTTTACAAATGGATATTCATGGCATTCAAACATCTTGTTTATGGCTGTTTAATCCTTATTTTCGTGTCTCCTCATTCCTCTCTATATAAACAAGCAACTAGCAAACATCGGGACACACACACATAGCCTGGAGAACCTATGAAAATATTTCAAAAACACCAAACTTGTCAAAATTCGAATTTCAGTCTCCAGCCTTCTTTAGTCCAAACCAAGGATCCTAATCCACTCCTGGAGACCCCTTGAAGCATTTGCAACCATTATCAAGCCTTGAAGCATCGCCTAACGCGTCCACCAACACTCACAATTTGCTTCATTTTCTAATTTCGTTTTGTATAATTCACGTAATATCAATGTGTTTTGACCATGCATATTTAACCGTGTGAGTATTTGCAAGATTTTGGTTTAGTTTGATTACAGTTTGGGTGTCGGAATCACGTATTACCATTTCTAGGGTTTGATCCTTAGAATTGGGGATTCTCAGAACAATCAAAATTATCCCAAACTAGGGGCACTATCGTGTTCAGAAGATTGAACACAATCAACCCATGGCCTCAAAATTCATTTTCGTTGCGTATTGTGAATTTTATAGGTTGCAAGTGCTATAGCGACAAACCAAAACTGTCACTATAGGTCTTATGTCTAAGACGACAGAGGGAGGAAGAAGATGATGTGTTGGCAGCCCTCCATTGGCTTATTCAAATCCAGCGTGCGTTTTTATTTTTTGAATACTTTTGATCTATTTTTTATATATAATATTATTATGTTATATGGATTAACGAATGGACAGTTGGCTCAGTTGGAAAAGCGCGCTTGTGTGAAGGGAGAGGATCTGGGTTCGAATCCCAGGACCAAAATTTTCCATTTTCATAATATTTCATACTGGATCCAGTATTCCACATGGCCAGAAGTGTATCATGCACCATCAGATCTGACCATCAGATCACAATCAAGTTGGAATCCAAGAGCCTTGATTGGAGATCCACCATGCGCCCTCAGGGTTGCACCTTAACTGATCCAGCGTGGTTTGGGCTCAATATTCATCTTGGGCCTGGCAGTTTCAGCAACAACACTGCCCTATTTTCTTTTAGCATTCAAGCCCTTTTGGGCATTTTTGTTTTGTTTGTACTTTTTTTATATATTTTGTTTTCCTTTATTATTTAATTAACTAAATAATATAAAGCTCACAAAAAAAATTAGGTTTAGACGTTTTTAACTAAATAAATAATTTGTTAATTAATTAATTAATTAATTGAATTTTAACTATTTTCTTAATTTAAAATAAGCTAGAATTTAGGACTAAATTTAGATTTAATATTTCTTTTCATAAATATAAAAAAATCACAAAAAAAGTTTAGTTTATTTTTCTTAAGTTAATTTTCTAAATATATTTTAGAATAATTAATTTAGTTATTTTCTTAAATTAAAAACAACACAAAAAAGATTTTTTCTCACTAGGTTTTAGAATATATTTTCATTCTTTCGGGCATTATTCATTTTTCATATTTTTTTATATATTCATGTAACTGTTATTTGGGATGTAATAGTTTTAAATATGACTTTTCATTGCTTTCTTTATTTTTTCCCAATTGTTTGTACATTGTAAATACCCCCTCCCCGAAAGCCATGTAATAGTTTATATTTACGCTTTCCGCACTTTACATTTCCTGCAAAAATATAAACTACTAGTAACTAGGCGTGTATGGCAAGACTGAAAAACAACGTTAGTAAACCTTAAAAGCAAAAGATAAATAACTGAATTGAACACAATTGCACACAAGGACCTCTAGGGTATCCCACTTTGATTGCCTTCAGAAATAAAACAGTCATGAGGCAGGAACGCTTTAGCAAAGACCCATAAATCAAAAGATCATAGTCCCTCGATGACCCTACAGTTGCCTTCTCGGTAAATGATCTAGTCCCTAAACAAAATTGCTAAAGCGTCTCCACAAGTTTCCTTCGTGACTGTAACATTCCTTTCGAATGTCCCTAATACATCCAATGATAGGGCTACCTAATCACTAATTGTAGGATAGCACTGACTAAAGGATAGGAGGAAAAGAACGACCCTTTTCGAGTATAAAAGTAGATATCTGTTAGAAGTTTGCTCAAAAAACATTTTGCACTTATACAAATACTACTTTTCAAAAGCAATTTTCAAAACATTTGCTTTGTTAACACACTTGAGGACTGATACAAGAGTTAAACGCAAAGCAAATCGCCGCACTAAGGCATTTTTCAAACATTTTCAAAACACACAAAGCAAAAAGGTATTTCAAAATGAGCAAACCTCTAAGAGCCCGTAGATAACTACGGATGGAAAGGGTGTTAACACCTTCCCTTTCCATAATCTACCCCCCTTACTCAAAATCTCGAAAAGGTCTTTTTCTGTTCTTTTCACCCTTTCCTTAATTTGGATAAAATAAAAGTTGGTGGCGACTCTTGCTTACCACAACATTTGCGAACATAAACGCAAAACTAGTATTAAACAGTCAGTTCTGCCACCGTATCACAGAACTGGAGACTCTGTTGGGGATACAAATAGTGGGGT